TGGTATCCCTATTTTACAAATAAGGAAACTTATGCTTAGACTAAATAACTTTCCATAATCATACACTTGTAAATTTCACACTCAATAAAACCACAAGAAACTGTACAAAGCACAAAAATGTGTGTTTTATGGCAAGAAATATGAGGGATGCATCACGATGATCAGCCTAAATAGCAGTTCTACTTACCTGGGTAATTAGGGGTGTTATGAAAGGTTATATAAAGAAAAGGTGATCCATTATTTCAAGATTTGAGAACATAAAATTAAACACTTTTTTCTTGTCAAATATTTCTGAACCTTTAATACTGTTATACTTTATGTCCCAAGAGGGAATGTAGCTTTCCCAACAATTTGACCACAGATCTCTCCTCTCCCCCTTCTAAATACAATAGCATCTTATGGGGCTAGCACTCCAGGAAATGCTTTGGAAAATACTGACGTGAATATTAATAAGGTTATCTATTGCCAATACCAAATCTCCATGGACTATTTAAATACCACATTTATTCATGAAAACGTTCTCCCTTATCCCCAGAAGAAATGTGTATTTTTCCAATCTTTTTTGCAATTTCTGACTTATAGTAGGTAATGATATAATCTATAACTAAAGCACTTTTTAAAATATTATATATGTACAAATATATATTATATATTTATGTGTATATGTATGTATAATATATCAGAAAACACACACACACATAAACACCAGAATTTACATATTCCAAATGATATCTCTTCCATGGAGCCAAATAACTTTTTAAATTCCTTTTTGGAGTTGGCTTTAAGTAATTAAATTTTTAAAAGTATCCCAATGATGTTCTCATCTCAGGATTGAAGAATTTATGGAAAGAACTAAAACTATGTGGAACAAATTGAAATTTTGAAATTGAGACTATCAAGCAATGAAATTTACTTTCTTGTGAGACTTAGAAATTCATTCTAATATATATATATAATATATATATATTTAAACAATGTAATTATATAAATAGGCATGACATCACCCTCATCCCTATTTAAACAATGTAATTATATATACATATAATTGCATTGTTTAAATAGGGATTTATATATATATAATAGGAATAGGAATGTTTAAATAGGAATTATATATATATAATTACATTGTTTAAATAGGGATAAGGGTGATGTCATGCCTATTTATGTAATTATAATATAATTTATATAATTATAATAGGAACTATAATTTATATAATTATAATATATAATTTTCTTCTGGGGAAGAAAATGCAATTTGTTACATTAAGTAAGAGGATATAGATATAGATATAGATATAGATATAGATATAGATATAGATATAGATATAGATATATAACTTCAACAAGTTAAATATGTGAAACCCTTGTGTATAAATAAGATAATAATAAAATAAATAATGAAAATAAGGAAGTGAGTGTCCTGCATTACAGATAAAAATGAAAAATAAACTTCACTGCAAAACAACAACAATAAAAAAGAAGCTTCTGCTATCAAAGTAGGGGCTGGGGAAGGGAGCTATCTTCTGTTTGAGCCTTTTTCTTTTTGTCCCTTAGGTATCCTTGGAGTTATACTTGCTAAATCCTAGGGCTTCCCTGAAACATTTAATATTATAAAAGTGACTGTGTTTCACTTCAGGCAAACCTGGATTTGAATCAGACCATTTACAGACAAGTTACCTAATTTCTCCAAGTCTCAGTTTCAGTTTTCTCATCTGGAAACTTATTGGATTGAGATTAAACATGACAATGCAAAGAATGCACTTGGTCTAATGCCTGGCACAGCCCCCATTTAAATGATGACAATACATTTGATAACTAGAATTTAAACATCATGTTTCAAGTTTTTGAATGCACTATTTTGCCTTGATTTCTAACAATCTTTGCATAGACTTTTTAAAAAATTAAATTATTATCTGTGTACATATCTTACCATTGCCCCCCCATACATGCCCTCTACTTTTTTTTTTTTTTTTTTTTTTTTAATATTCCTCCATCAGCCTTTTAGGCAATATTTATTAAACATGTGCTAAGCACAGACCACTCTGTCACAGATTAGGGACACAGAGATGAAATAGATAAGCTGTGTTCCGAAAAGCTTATGGCTGAATGGAGAAATGAAGTTTATATATTCCATGTTATTATACAGTGAGAATAAAAATTCCCCACAAAGATAGAACTCTGTAGAAACTTACAGAGTAAGAGGCCGATGCTGACAAGAACCAGGTGAGTCTTTGGGGAGGGGTCTCAACTAAAGGGATGCTTTAAATAATAGGAACACTAATAAGACAAAGAATCGAGGCCCAGAAGTATAGAGTATTTTCAGGGAAGAGCTAGCTATTGGTTCTGTTGGTTCATAGTTCTTAAAAGAAGTCACAATTAGATTCTAGACAGGTTTGTGAGGCCTGAAATGTTGAATGAACAAAAGTTGAGTTTTATTTTTATATATGTATAAGCAATGGTGAGCCACTGAGAGTTTTGAACATGGGAGTGATATGATAAGTGACATGTCTTAGGAAACCTAACCTGGAAGCACCTGATAGTGTGTGTTGAAGATGAAATGATTAGAAGCAAAAACCCACAGAGAAGCTGTTGGTGTAACCCACAAAAAAACTGAGGTACACCCCTGTCAATGGAAGAAAGGGCATACTGGTGGTAGAAAGCTGGGAGCACAGAGGACTTCTTTCAAGGTTGTGTTTCTTTATCAAGCACAAAAACAACAGATTTTATACTCTTTGTGGGGTGGGGTGTAATTAGGGGCATGCTAATGGAGGTAATCAAGGTTAGAGGCTTTGAATCCTTTCCTGAACAAATGCTAAAGAAGACCTTGTCTAGGAAAGTAACAAAGATGCAAGGACAGGAATGAGCACAACAAAACTTGACAATAATTAAGTCTGGTGTTCTGTTTTTTTGTCCCTGCCATCTTTCTTTAGCATTTTCCACTTAACCTAGTCTGTGACTTATATAAAAATTTACCTGATTCCTGGTATATCTGTTAAGGAAAGTTTATTCACAGCATTGTCTTCCATGGCATGGTATGAGTCAATCCAGTTCAGCAAACGAGGGGAAAAAGTATTCTTTGCTTTTTATAGGGTTGTTGGTCATTCTCAGAATAAGTAAGTCATTTTGGGTTAGCAGTTGACTATTTGATTATTATACAATCATGAATAATAAAAATGGAGTCCTTAAGGATAAATATTAGGTCTCACTATCGAATAGTCTTCTGTGGCATACGAGGACATTGTACAATTACTGTAATCTTTTCACATATTGAATTGGTTCTAAGTGCTGGGTTACATGCTGTAAATGAAAATTTATTCAAGTTACTGGAGTCTCTTATGGGTAACATCTTAATGACTGAAATATTATTCTGCTACTATGAGAATAATGAAAAGGTTCTTCTCCTACAACACAACATTTTTAAAAATTTTACAGAAATATTTAAACTTACACTGAAGTAGGGAGATATAATATAATGAACACTATGTATCCTTAACTCCATTTCATAATTATCAATATTTAATCAAACACTGTCAACTGTTTTATTATCTCTCATACTTTTTAATTGGAATATTTTAAATTAAACATTTAATTTGTAAATAATTTAGTAAGTATTTCTACTGATAAGAAATATTTTTACATAATGAGCATGCATTTGTCACAGATCCTAAATATCATCTATTACTCATTTCATATACACAGTTCTCCAAATATTTGAAAGATGTTCCTTTACAATTAGTTTGTTCAAATCAGTATCTTAACAATCACTTTTGCTTATTATTGTCTCCAACGGTTCTTAATTTTTTTCTTCACATTTATTTATTGGAAAACAAGTTTAATTTCATATTTTATAACCAGTTTTTCTACACTATTTCCTACTTCTAAAGCAAAACCATAATTCATTCAACCGTTATTCAACTACTATATAATGAACAATTGCTATGTTATATATAGGATAGTGTAGTGCTGCTGAAAGTGATTCAAATTCAAAGATGACTGTGAATCATGGCCTCTACTATTATGACATTACAATCTGGAGGTAAAGGAAAAAATAGTACTGCACAAATATAATGACAACAACATATTGTAGAATTAAGTGGTATAAGATACTATGCTTCTAAAGGCAGAGGCATGGATTAGAAGATAAAGGGAGCCTTTTTAGAGAAGTTGGCATGTAACATAGATGGGTGTAGAGTGACCAAGTCTAGAGGCAATTGGGTTTTAAGAAGGGTAAAAGAGAAAGTTTATTACATGATTGAAAACCTGAAGAAGAAGAAGAAAAAGAACATAAATTTTAGAGGTGAAGGAAGTTCACGTTACATTCAAGAGATGATAAATGAAAAAACTTAGCTGCTGCCGGACATTTGTGAAAAACCTTAGCTGCAGCTAGACAAATTCAGGACTAGAGGAGGAAGGATCTTAAATGCCAGACTAAAGAACTTGAACATGGCCCTTAGAGCAGAGAACCGTTAGCTCCATTCATTTTTCCAAATACTGGAGATTATATCTACGATGTAAACATAGATATTCCATTAGTCAGCAAAAATGCATCAGCTTTGTACACAAGGAAATTGTAAAACTGTTTATGCATTCCAATAGCAATCATTTTCAAGTATTTATAGCAAGTTGGCAAGATAATTTAATGTTTTATTTTGCCCAAAAGCTATTGATGATACACTTAGAAGAACACAAACAAATTGGAGTTGATTTAACTGACATACACTACATAGCAGCTGAAAGACCTTCATAAAGCAAAGATTGATTGTTTGTGGCATAGTATAAAACAACAACAACTCTACCATAGCAGAGGTAGATGTTCATGCTATTAAAGATAGATGGACTAGCCCTGCACACTTCAGACTCTATACTTTTTATCGACTATGGAAATATAGTGAAGTTTGTAATATGTTTGAGTTTGAGTGTTCTTTTTTTTGCGGGGGGGGGGGGGGGGAAGCCTATCAATAATAAACATATATTGACCAATACATTTTTCTCTTTACCAGCATAATGATAATTGACTTTCATCATTATAAAACCCTCAAGTGACAGCTGAATTATTCAAGCCTTCAAAAAATGTATACATTAAACTTGGTTGGTAAGTATTTTCTTCTTGCATGCTATTCTTGAATAAAAGGTGATCAATGTATTCCATATCATATAGATTTTAAAGTATTTTTGAGTGTCCACATATACCAGAGATTGTGCAAGACTTTTGAGAAAATAACATTGTGCATAAAATGTGGTCCTAGTTTCCAGAGGCTTGTCTTCTACGACAGATGAGTAAAATTATAGGTAGGATTGAAATAGAGTTGTCAAACTACATTGTTAGGATTTTTCAGCTGCCATTTTGAATCAATCAGGTCATTCTCAGTGGTGGAGACCTAGCTTGTCTATTGTGAGATGTTTTGAAGCATCCCTGGCCTCTACCTACTAGATACCAATAACACCTTCCAGTTGTGACAACCAAAGATATCTCCAGATAGTGCCAACTGTCCCCCAAGGACAGAGTTAAAAAATCACTTGCAATTTTCAACCACTATATTAGATGGAAATTACTATGTACATTTTGCTAATGAGTATAACTTCTAGTTGAGGAAACCAAGTAAAGTCCATGAAAGGAAGGGTGGCTGATATGAATAGGTTGAAAAGAAGAGAGAAACTCAGGACTAGAGAAGATAATGATAAAGTGGCCAAACTGATGATGGGAAGCCAAGTGGATAAGCATGAATTATGTTCAAGAGTCATGTAGCATTGGGCGGTTAGTAGAGAAAAACTGATAAAGTAAAAAATAAAAACAAAAACAAAAAACAATTAAATTATGGAGATCCTTGTATATAAAATAAAGAGAGATGGTTTTCATTTTGTAGAGAGGCCATTTGCACATAGAAGTGAAATGAATAAAAGCATCATTTTGGAAATGTTAATATGGCAGATCTGGGCAGAATGATTTAGGCAAATAAGAAAGTTTATTTTAGGTCTGGGACTCAGTTAAGGACATAATTTGGCAGAAATTGGAGAATATATTTGTGAGAGATGTATTTCCCAACATAGAATGAGAGAAGAAAAACTAGTGAAGAAGTCTATAACTTGATTTTATGTTTGCTCTCATAAATTCTTGTTTAAACTGTTTTCTCATAATACAGTTGACACGTTATAACAGAGCTGATTGGGCAGATGTGCCCAGATTCTCTGGGAGGACTCCATGAAGTGGAAAGTCATAACTGATGTTGCAGAGTTGTGAAAACAAAAATGATATCATTCTCAAAAACAACTCTCCATTAACATAGAAACTAGGAATCTAAGAGGTTTAAATAATATCATTCAAGAAAAGTATTCTAGTAGTCTAACGGGTTAAAATGTAAACTTGGTAAATCTACTCTTGATTGTAACTACACTGTTCATTTGCTCTGAAAATATTTTCTATCCCTTTGTACATTAAAACCTCTCATGCACAGATATGACTTGGGGTGGGTTGGGAGCTGGTAGAGGGGGACCAGGGCAGGGAGGAATGTGGGACATCTGTAATAATATCAACAATAAATTTAAAAAATATTTTACAAATAAAAATAGAGAGAAGAAGCAACTGTCAAATAGAATGTCATCACTTCCCCTTCACCCCCACATCTTCCATTCTTGCCCAAGTCACCCCTGTCTTAGATCTAAGAAAGGGGCGTTTTCTGAAATCACAGAGTCCTTCTATCCTTTGTTTGCCAACAGGGTAGTATATTTATTCTAGAAACTCTTAAGCTTCCATTTTTTAGATTATGACACCAAAAAAATGTAAAATGTTGGTAGACACCAAAAAATTAAAATGCACTCCATGCAAACATAGAAGCAAGGAAGCAGTAAGAAGTTAACTGGATAAAAAGAAATTAATACCTAGGGAAACCAGGGGGAAAATGTAATCTCAGGCACAAAAATTCAGATTTTGTTAAATAAGCAACTCCAGTTTCATAAACAGGGAATTAAATATTGGTGGAAAGTCAAGAGATAATTTTTTTTATTCCTGTCAGCTAAATATAAAATAGATGATAATTGGAAAAAGCTTGAATAAGTGAAAGAAGGTAAGAGGCTGCTGCAATAATCCAGATGTTGTTCATTTATCAAAAGCAGTTTCTAAGTATCCTCGGTATTAATAGCACCTTATGAGATACAAATTAATGCTTGCTTGAACTAGGGCAGTGACTACAGAAATGGTAATGTCTGTCCTACTGAATATTAATAAAATGATAAAAAACCAGCTCAGTGCCCATTTTTTCTTCAGGTTGTTATTTCTACACTTATCAGACTTTACATATTTGAAACAGATCCACACTTTGGGATGTTTTCCTAAAATAAGTTGCATTAAGAATCATGGGGAGAAGTTTGCTAATAGTTGCCAATCAACTGTCTATCAGTCTGCACCAAGATGACATATTTTCCGAGTTAAACAGCACCGAGTGCTAAAGTGAGGGGGAGGAAAAAAGGTAGGGAGCAGTGCCACCCCTCCATGTTTTATCAAAGGCTCTATTCTGTCAATCACCAGAAAACTGAAATCCTTCTTGGACCTGCAAGAATGTTTTTAGTGAGTGAGAGTGTGTTTATGAAAAGAAATGAATGAACTAAATGGCCACGATTATTGATTCTTTCTGCCCTTGTGGCTTTAGACTAGAAGTGGTTTTCAAGGGTCCCAAACCTATTTCCAATGTTTTTCCCTTAATTTGATCTACAGCGTTGTGGATGCACTCAATCTAACCACATCTGATCTGTTCCATCAGACCATTGGGAATGAATGTTAATTAATAAAAAGACTGCATTTAAAAGCCCTTTTCATCTTTCTATATCATTTAAAAATGCATATTTATTGAACCAAATAAAATAAAAAAAACACCTCGATTTCACAAAACTAAATTTTAGTCCCACTTCTGACTGGAGCTTAAAGCATGAATCTAAAAAAATCTAAACTATCAAAAAAATCTAAAAATGTCATTGTGATTGGGAAGAAAAAAAAACCTCCCAGTCATTCTCCTACTTTATCAACATAATATTCACCATTGGAATTTTTTAGGTAACATTAATTACAATTAAATAGCTTTTGGTATTGTATAGAGCTGTTAAGTGCTATAAATGAGTTTTCTTTTATGTAATCTAAAAGTATCTCGATCTGTAAGTTAGTATGTACTCATTTTATAAAGAATTGAACCGGGGCCCAGGGTTTCTTTCCTCAGGCTAATATTCAGTAAGCCTTTGTTGATAACTTGTTATGTGTTCTGGGCAGTACAGGGAATGAGCACATGGGGATGTGTAAGACAGATCTCCCCTTTCTTCAGGAGTTGACAGTCTAGGATAAGAGAGACAATTAACCTGATAAATGCAGAAAATGAAAAAAGTACTACCATAGAGACGAGCATTTAGGAGAATACATAAGTCAAAGTAAGCTTTATAATATTGTTGTTGTTTTTTCCTTTTTCCAGTATATTAAAAATCCTAACAAAAACCTTAGAAGTTTCTCATGCAGATGGCAATGTGAACATGTGGCTTCCATAAACTGTTCAATATTATCACAGTATCTAAAAGGCCAGAAGGGATCTTCAGTAACTACAAGTTTCATTTACATAAATTCATCAGGTATTTTCCATACTTTGACATTCCTAAGAACCCTTGTAATATCTACCGCATTTTGTTTGGGGAGTATCTTTCTGAGTCAAAATTCTTGTATCTTCCACACCCTGTTTCTCTCCCAATTTTCCTCTAAATAAGTCGAGAAGCATTTATTTTCTGTGGCTGGTAAATATGATTTATCAGCTTTTGGAAGAAAAAAAGAAGAAAGAAACACCACAAAACCTGTGGTGCATTTTCTGCTTCAGTAAATGGGTCACACTTTGTCAAATTCTGACTATATTAAGCTTTTGTGAAATTCTGTTTTTCTCAAATACTAGGTTGCGGCACTGGATATCAAAGGGCAATTTATTTTGTTCTAAGTAGGCTTTTACTCAGTTCATTTTTTCTCCCTTAAATCATAAACACTTCATAAAAGATAAATCAGATAAATTAGAATGTTTAAAGAAGGGTAATATTGTTTTCATTTATATTTAGGCAATTGCACGCTGCCTTTTATATTTAGAGATGGTTATTGCAAACTGAGACTCGTAAGATACTGATTTGTTAATTTTCTTGTGGCAGTGATGAATTTGAGGTGATCCATCTCTAAGAAAAATGGCCCTGTCAGAAAGTAGCATCCTCATAGGGACTGAACCTAAATCATAGCCACCAACAATTATTACCGCATACAAATAAAGGTAGAGAGTAGATATAATCAAGAATATGCCATTCACAACTGATGCTTAAACATTTTTACATTGATCTGAACATTTACTTTTTGATTCTAAACTATTTTTAATTGTCTTACTATCATCTTGTTAGGATGAATCTTTCTCAACTAAATGATAAAATACAATACACATTCAAATTCAAGATATATTTTTGTTCTAGTAAAGTGCCAGCACAATGTCTGGAATATTGTATGTGTTCATTAAATATTTTCTCTCTCCTTTTTTCCATTTATCATGATAAACTACGTTAACTGGCTTAGTTATCATCTTCTATGAGGACTAACTCCAGTGCAAAATAACCCACTCTTTTCCAAAAATCATTTGGTATTAAAAATAACATTTATCAATTATTAGGTATGTTAAAATTTGTTTTCACTCACAAAGTTATACTGGTAATACATTATTTAGTGCCAATCTTTTCACAAACATAGTCATTCTTGTTTTATTTTAGGACACTTTCATAATGCTGAAAAGCAACAAGGGCAACAACTTTAAAGTGATAAATAAGCATGTAAGTGGGCATTAATACCTTCATCCTGAAACCACCTTTACCTTATTTCTCTTTTTCAAATCCTCCATTTACATCTCAAGAGAGTTTCATAGTCCTTGAACAAGTTACCATTTGGGTGCTCCTATTGATTGATTCACGGCCTTCTTCTCTTCTCTAGTTTCAATCAAATGATCATCCCTGAGCAAAAACCATTTGAGAAACACTCAGAACTTATACACACATTCTGACAATGTGTGCTTGTCCCAATGACCAGCATCCTAGGTCTTCATTGCTTCACACTTATATTGTTGACACAAACAAATTATTCCCTGCCTTCAGTCTTCCTTTCACCTAATTTGCCCTACTGACAGAGCCTTAGAAACATTCCCTGCCCTACTATTGATCCTAGTTTAACATCTCAAATTATCTCCCATTTCTATCAAATAAAATTTTCCAGTTTGATATTCAGGGCCCAATACAAATGCATCTTTGAATGCCTATGGTTTATGACTCGTCATAATTCAACAGATAGTCCTGTACACAAAGTCCTAAGTACATACATTTGATATTAAAACTTGTCTCAGCCACTATTTTTTGAAAATGCTTTCTGTCCCTGATGTGGGTGAGGTACACCTCCCTTCCTAGAGTACCTTCAGCAAATACAGCAGAGAATGGAACAAACTGTATTGTCATTGTTTGCTTATTTGGCTGTATCCTTTCAATGTGATGTAGATTTCTTACGGGCAGAAATATGTTCTATTCATCTTTCTTCCACCTTCCAAACTTGTATCAAAGTTAACTTCTTTGGAAATAGTTCATAAAAAAAAAGGAAGAGATGTGACTTGGAGTTTCGAATATGAAGCTGAAAATAATTTGTTTCTAAAGCAATATTGCTTCTTATGGAGGAGCCTAAAAAGCCTCAGAATCAAGAGACAAATAAGCAATCTATGTAGAATTCTGAAAGCCTGACATATGGATTCAGCACTCAAATCAGTTGCCAGGAACATGTACCAAACACCAGGATATTGTTATCTGGGATTATTTATGTCCTCTATATCGTACATATAATGATGACATAATTAGATCTGTCCTCTGTTCCCACTATGCCCTGGCCACTCTTTTCTCTGGTCCAATATCCTGAGGATCCCATTCCATTAATACCTATTCTAACACTTCTTCATTTTAGGTATCATTTACTCTGCTCTGCAATCATGTACCACCCTATTGTCATAATACCACCTTTACTGCATGTGAGAAATTTCCCAAGAAGCCTTTCTCAGTCATGTCCCTCTGGTTTGATTTCAGGTCCTTTCCTCCAAAGACAATCCTGTTCATCATGGAAGACATTGGAACCTCCAGTAGTTGGAGCTGAGGGTCTTCATCAGAAAGCAACCATTCACGTCTGTTTTAGCCCTACCTTTCGTTCCTGATATCAACTGTGGTACAACTATGATCTTCAGTAACCAGTCCCTATTATACATCAATACAATTTGAAAATAAACAAGTGTTTAAAATATGTACATGTCTACATTTCTTTCTACTACTCTGGTTTCTTGTAAACTAAACATAATGCTTAATGAGTTATTCAAGAGGCAAGAATATGACAATAAAAAATAACTGAACTTTTTGGTTATCATAGACCATTATAGAAGTACATAGTTTTGTTATCCCTTTGAGTTGATAGGAGTTCATTTTAAAAGTTCCTGCTGTTTTTAAATGTATATTTACCTGCATACCTATAAATTGTTGAAAGTACTATTTGAGAGAAACCATTAACTGAGGTGTAGGGATATGGAAACACTACAAGATTATATATGACAAAGCAAATGTGTAAAAATGTATTTCCACTGACAGTAAGTAAAAATAATGTAGAATCTTACAAGACAATTTGAAATTTATTAGATAAGACTTCCCAGAGAAGTAACTTTTTACAAATCCCTTTATCTTTATTTTCATACGCATTTGTCTTTGTGCTGGACTTTGAAACCCAGCTTTATAACATCCCAATATTATTGTTGATCAGTCACTTTTGGAACATACAAACTTCTTTAAAACAAACGCAGACTAAATGCCCCAGAACACACTTGCCCAAAGGCTTAGTGACCTCATGAAGTCACTTCCACAATTTGATTTTTTTTTTTTTAATGTCTTTGTCACAACAAAGACATTTCTTCCCAAGGCATGTCTCCTAAATAAGTGCTGAATTGTGTATCCATCTTGATTAGTCAGACTGGAATCTTGTTTTTCTTCTCTTTGCCATAAAATAAGAAACTTAAAGAATTGCAACTATTTAGTCTTTAATTACATGTAGGCATCCAGGTAGGGTAAGGATATATGCCAAATTAAGGATTGCAAAGCTTCCTAAAAATGCCGTGTTGCTTAAATAACGTTTGCAGCATGATTTCTTCCCTGTTTGGAAACAGTGAGTGCTGCTGTATTATGCTTATTGGTTCATTTTCTGCTTGGTTCCTTGGTGGAAAGTGTGAGCCTTACTGACTTTAGAAATGCAGGTGAGAAAAATTTAGATTCTAATAAGTATATGGAAAAAAAAAAAGCACACCTGTCTTATCAAAGGAAAACAAATGAATATTGGTTTCTCTGTAATTCTGGCTAATGTCAGGACAGTAAGGAAAATATTACCTCTTAAACTTCAAAGACATTAAGTTATTGGGTTGATTAGAACCACTACTGAATTACTTAGTTATTTTCCTCATCTTCATTGTTTATACAGATCAGACTTGATTGCCTGTGCTGATTAGACAGGATAAAAGGAAATCTATGTAAAAACTGAAAAGTTTATGCATGCTTTACATGTTAGTCCTTGAACTCACAGAAAATAAATTATTATATTGGCCAGTTTTCAAACACCTTGGTATAGTTTTCCCAAGAACCAGAAAGGATAATCCATGCAACATATGCTAGGAGAATCCAGAGGTGAGAGCATTCCCTGAGGAAAGGAGAAGCCCAAGAAGGCTCATGGAGGTGGAGCTGAGACAATCGAGGGTGAAATGAGCATTTCAGACACACAGTTTGTTCAATGGAATGGAGATGGAACCATATTGTTTGGGAGAAAAATAACTGGTAAAGTAATGGGTTGAAATAAAGGATTTAATTTATGGAAGAAAAGACAGAGTTGAAGGGATATGTAGGAACCAACAACAAATAAATGAGTGTCTGCTATTTGAGAGGTGTTGTACTGGGCACTAAACAGACATCTCTGAAAAAATTGTTTGAACTTGAGGATAGGGTAAAGGAGATAAATTTGACTGAACAAAACAGTATAGATTATAATGAAAATAGACCAGTTTAACTTGTACTAAACTGAAGGAGATGCATATGAAAGCTGGTATGAAGAGGAAAAAATTGGACTGAATGGTGAGAATGTGGGAAGAGAAATAGAAAGTTCAGCAACTAAGTTGGTTGGCTGTTAGGGGAAATTATGTTTTGCTTTAGGATTTAAAGAATGTGCAATGCAGTTCTAATGCTACCAGCCCAAGTGCAGTCAAACTTTGTGTGTTAAGGGCATAGTCCCCCACGAGATTGCCCTCACAAAAGACTCTAGCCTCAAACTCTAAGTTTCCCAGACCACCCACACTTGGGACCAACTGGCTACAAATTTGGAAGTTTCCTCAGTTTTATAATTCGCCAGAATGATTCACAGAATTCAAGAAAGTAAGTTTTATTATAGAGGATAATAAATAGAGAATCAGCCAAATGAAGAAGCACATATAGGGAAAGATCTGGAAGTCTTCCAAACATGAAACTTCTGTGTGCTCAGGGTGTATCACACTTTCAGCATATCAGTGTGTTTCACCAGCCAGGAAGCTGATTAAGCATCATTGTACAAAATTTTATTGGAGTTTCACTACAGAGGTATGATGTTTTTCAATTATTTGCTATGAAGTTAAACTCAGACTCCAGCCCCCTTCCTCCTCAAAAGTCAGACTGATATCACAGGATTCAAAGTACCAAACCTCTAATACATGGCTGATTGGTCTCTCTGTCATGGCCAGTCTCCATTTTGACCCCTCTTGTGAGCAAAAACTACCTACAGGCACTCCATGAGTAATCTCATTAGCATAAATTCAGGGGTGGCCCAAGAGGCCCAACATAAATAACACACACCTATCACTTATGAAATTCAAGGACTTAAAGGAATTCTAAGGACTCTCCTGAAAACGAGAGACACTGATGCAGCCAAATTCTTTGTTACACAACAAACGAGTGAAGTAACTCTAGGTTCTTTCAGGAGGAATCAATGGCAGACAGTTGAAATCTCAAAACAAGCTGGAGAGAGAGAGAAAAGAGGACTAGAGAGGTGACTTTGGCCACAAAGTGAAAGGTCACATGGTATAGCTTAGTGTTCAAAGTTATTCAGCAAGGGCTTCAGTTGGGGTATGAGTCCTTTGCAATAGAATAGGCAACTAAAACACATATAACATATTTTTCTAAAGAAATCAATGCTTAGCCTGAAGCTAACATTAACTTGAATAGAAACAATTCTTTCTGCATCTTTTCTGATAACCAGATGTCTAAAATATGTATCTTTTATAAGTATATCAAACAATCCCTAGAGAAAATGTGATAAAAATATGTAAATTCAAAATTGACATAGCAGTGACTTAAATACTTCATTCTTGTTCAACAAATGCAAAAGTGATGAGGTAAGCATTACTAATGTTCACTTGCTCAACATTGTAAACAAAATGAGTTTCTTTAGAACAGACAATGTTTTGTTCAACGTGCTATTGAAAATGAAATGACAGAAAACAAAACAGAAATAAAAAAACTTTCTGCCTTCATGAAGCTTATGTTCCAGTTGGAGAAACAAGCAATATATATATATATATATATATATATATCTCCTACCTAATAAAAGAGTAATATGCAAATTAACCACCACTCTGCTACACCCACAAGCCATGACCACAAGCCACGCCCACCAGCCAATCAGAGTGAGTATGCAAATTAACTCCAACCAAGATTGCTGCACCACAGGAGAGAGGCTTGGGTTTCTCTGGCAACAGAAGAAGCCAAGCTTTCTGCCTAGCCTTCCTAAGCCTCCACTCAAGGCTACAAAGTTTCAATTATAGAAGATAAATCTCAAGAAAAATGGCAGTAGCCACGGAGCTTGAGAGAGCAGGCTAGGTTGCCCTCAGCTATGGCAACGGAAGGAAGCCAAGCTTTCCACCTGCCCTGGCTGGCGTAGGCCTCCACTCCAGGCTATAAGTTTCAATTGAAGAAGGTAAATATATCCCAGATGCCAGGGCCTCCACTTGGGTTGCTGGGGAGCATGG